GGGAAGATGGCTTCTATTTGAGGAAAGTGAGAATAATCAAATCCAACCTTTTTGAGCAATAGATTTTACGATTAAATGACTTTATATTCCGATGAGTAGTACTACTGCCTATATGAAGTGAGTGGAAGTGAACAAAATTGACGCTAAGAATGACATAAAATTTGTTTGCATTCAATTCGACATTTTATACCAAATTTACGGAGATTGAATTTTGATCGCAAATGTCACAAAACGCCTAAGATTGTAAGTCGATTATGCAAATATTATGGAGAGCAGTTTGCAAAAAACGTAATAATTTTCAAGCGGAAATATGAAGTAAACAATCAAGCATATATTTAGTTCACGTGAGGTCAGATCAAACACTGACTAAACATCTTTTTCAACCAATTTTGATTATACTGCAGAAGTTTGCAGTGGCAATTCATCGGAACATTTGTTTTCGAGCACATCAAACCAATAATTCATATGCATCAAACTATTCCAAATAGGAATGCTTTCAGAAGCTTAGATTTGTAAAATCCTTCATTCATGCTTCTTCAATTGTGCAGAATATGTGAAATTCTTTTTATTGGTAGTGCACATGTACGGTACTTCAGCGGTATGTCTGTGTTTATGGTCATTCAAATAACCAGAATATATGAAACTTGCCTTGCACACGTTGCACATATACGGTGTTTAATGGATATGTATTCTCAAGTGTCTGCTTAAAGTACTGCTGGTTGTGAGAAAATATGAAATGGTAATCCATTTATGTTTAATTTGGTATTTTGTACCATATATACGGGGATTGAGTTTTGGTCGGAAAATGCACAGAAGACCAAAGGTTTTTGTTGATTATGCAAATAATGTAAGTTCACAATGGAATGTCTGTAATGGCTTGGTTGCAAAAATATTAAGTAAACAATCAAACATATTTTAATTTCACGTGTTGTCAGATCAAACATTTATTGGACATATTTAATCCTTTCTGAACTACGTTTAACCATACAGCAAAAAATTACCAGTAGCATTTCATCGAAATATTTATCATAGAGCACACTAAACCAATAGTAATTCATATGATATGCTTTTGTATAGTTAATTTAGCAGAAGTGCTTTTCAAAGCTTGAATTTGTAACGAGCATTTGTTTTGGTAGTAAGGCTGTTCAGAATCCGACATATTTGTGAGCAAAGCTCTTGCTTTCAGAAATACGTGTATTATTCCTTCACATGAATTGAAACTTAACTTTAATAAAACTAACTTTGCAGTGACAGATGTGTTGAGAAGTGTTTGTACGACGTAAAAAATGTTCCACACTGATGAATTCTGTTTTGACACGAATTTCAGACACACTATTGTGAACAATAGCGCTTTTCTGTTCATTTAAATGATTTCATATTTTGAGATCTAATCATTTATGGCAATAGCTGCTGAATATTGTTTTAAATGTTAGCATAATGTGCCTACTGATTTCCAGTTCGCATCGGAAAGCAAATAGCACAGTGACATCGTAAATACTATGAATCAAACAGCAGTTATTTTAGGTACCAAATACTGTGAATTATTCTCATTTGGAGGTTGCATACTTCTTCAGCACCATGAGGTGCGCAGAAGTGAACTGACTGAATTCAAGTCTTGCAAATTAAATTGATAATATTTCAGAATTAAAATAATTTGATTAAAATAGTGAACACAAATGAAATAGTGAATGTAGAGGTTATATAGATTGAGATGACGAAGATCAAGTTACTAACTGTCGGGCTATCCAGATTCTCGAAATCTACAATTTCATTAATGATTTATATTGTAAAAGTGTCTGAGCAAATTTTATGATTTTTAAGTAATTATTATGAATTTATGAATAAATCATTTATTAAGCGCTGGTTGTGATCTGATAAATAAAAGATTGAATTAAAAAGATAAAATAGAAAGATTGAGTTTTGTTGAAAGTGAAGCATAAAAATTGTTAGAATTTTTGAAACAAGAAACATTTAGAAACTTTTCAAAAAATAACTTCAAAAAAACGAACGCTAAAAACAGAAGTAAATATTTGTTTGAAATTTTAAAATTTTAAAAATTTCTGCCAAATTTTTTGTTACGAAAAACAAGAATGCGTACTATTTTTCCAAAACAAAAAAAAAATGAAAATAAATTAAAAATTATGCTGCAAGAAATGAACAAGTCGAAAAATTAATGAATTTAATACTCTTTAGAACTGAATAAAATAATCTATTATTATCTTTTGCCATCAAATTTTTGAAATCTTAGCTATAATAATTTCAATTCAAAAAATTCTATGATGCAAATTTTTCTATATTGTTTTTTTGAAATCATTACAAGTTTAGTCATCTAGCCATAAATTTTTTAAAATTATCTGTATAAAAGTAAAAAGTTTTAAATGAAAATACTTGACAGTACTGCTAATACTTTATTAAATAATAAAAACTACACTTAATTTATTACAGGTTAATTCTTCATTACTTCAATAAAGTTATTAATGCTATCAAATTTCTTTATTAGCAAACAGTATTACAAATTCCAATTTCAAATTGGTTCAAATCTTGATTACTTCTTCGATGCATTTTCAAACAATAATTACTGGTACGTAAAGTTTCCAGAGTATGCTAATACTTAACTTAGTTACATTTTCCTTTTTGAAAATTCAAAATACCATAATTGAAGTGCGGTTATAATTACTAATAAATATATTCCATCCATCAAAAAATGCTTCTCTTTCATTGTTTTCCCACTCTTATTGTGAACTAAAAAACCAAACTAATTATGCGGTCGAAATATTTTTGGTAATTCTTTAACTCTAAATATTTTAATTTGTCCTATGTTATACGTTCCACTTTATCTCTTTGACTGCCTTCATTTTGGAAATATCTTTAACTTATAAATTACTAATTTCTTAGCTTTACTGCTATTTATTCGAATAATTTTGTAGCTATCAATAAATAATTTTGTGTGTGAACTAATTTTTTTAAGTTAGATAAAAGTACTAATCAATTATAGTTGTAGATAACTTTTCCCGCTATGCAAATTTTGATCAGTACTGATTCATAGAAACTTCTCAAATGAAGTCGAATTAATAACAATGTGATATTGTTATTCTTATGTATTGATAAAATTTGTTTGTATTCCCAAGGATATGAACTTTTTAATTTTTTGATAATAATAGCTTTTATCTACTTAGATGATTTAAAACAAATTTACGAAAAAATACATTTTTGAATAGCACCAATGTCCCTCAGTCATATTTGAAAATATTACAAGATTTAATTTTCTGTAGAAATACTTTGAGCATATTTTGAGCTTTCGAAGTATTACTTTTTTAAATTTCTTAATTTAATTTCAGAATTATAATCAATGGACGATGTATGGCGGAACGTTTTTAAATATTTGACTGTAACTGAACGGATACGTTATGAACGCGTATGTATACGTTGGATGAAACTTTTACGTGAATATTGGAAAGAATTGAAAAGTATTGATACAACTGTACTATTTGTTAGCGTAGAGTTTAAATCTTGGAATAAATGTATGAAAGCGATTTTAGGTATTGTAAATTTACGCACATTTTTACGTAATTAAGAAATCAAACTATTTTTCTGCTGTTAGCGTTGTGATAATAAAGCGTTTAATTATATAAATATATTTAATCATTCGAGATTAATACAATACAAATTTGTTGATTATGAATTCATTAGTTAATCAATCATAGTATGTCATATTTATTTATCCATTATGATCGCAAAATGCGTATGAATAAGAATATGGTACTATTACTTTTTTGAACTAAAAATGCAGTATTTATTGACTACTTGAAAGGATGTATTAAGTAATCAGCAATTATGGTACAGTACTTTAATAGCAAAATTACGGTACCTAACTGATATTTAAAAAATACAGTTTGAGTATATTAACTGGATGCAAAATAATCGTATTAATTAATTTGATGTTCGTTTCAATAATTCATTTTATTATTGATGAAAGAGTAATGATAAGACTTAGACTGATGAGACCAGTTATTGTACGCTCTCCTGTTACTTTTCCACCAGTGATAATAAAAACTGATAACAATTAAGCATGATATATTAACAGTTAAAAAATAATTGTTTGATATTTTACAGTACTAAAAAACTTATTTGTAATTGAAGTATGATCTAATTGCCTGAACTATCGTCAATTTTTGAAACTGCTTTTAAATTGTTGGATTCAGCGCGATGTTCACGTAAATTATTATCATTTTCCTACGGTTATGAGCCTTTATATGGTGCACATGAACCGATAAAGCAGTTAGATCCAAAAATATTTTCTAAACTTTTGAGAAAATCGCCATTTCTTGCGACACTTAAAATTTCACGGTAAATTATTGTCTCGTTTTTTGTCATTCAAAATTCAACATTTTTCCAAGAACTATTTGCATAACTTATGTTATGCAAAGTACTAAAATAGGAAAAAATTTGTGTTAAAATGTGGATTAGCAGTTAAAAGTAATTTTTAAATACTTTACTGAGCTTTTCTGAATTATTTAAGCGAGTTTCTCGCAGTGAGGTATAAATAGATTTTGTTTTTAAGTCAAAATTTCGTGAGTGCATTCTGGTAATTGCGACTTTTTTTCTTTTGCTAATTACCATAAATAAGGTCAAGAAATAAAGAAATTTAAAATATTTAGAGTATTTTTAGATGCTTTTTACCAAAAGAAACAGTATCATTACTTCGAAAAGTGCCGCCTGTTTTACAGGTAAGTGTAATATTTCAGTCTATCAGATTGAACTAAAGCAATTTGATTAATTTTAAAAAGTTATAATCTGAAAAGTACTACAAAAATTGTTCATTTTTATAAAAAGTAAACATTTTACACTTTGCTTATTTAAAGATCGAAAAAGTTAAAATCAAATTTCAGGTTTTTTGCATGGAAGATTGCATAATTGATTCTGATATATGTGTATATCCATTTTTTTTGCACATCCTAGATAAATGTCTAACGCTAATTGAATTTGTCATTTCAGTTAGTTCAATTTTAATTTTAAAGTTAGAGTCAAAATTGTTTTAATAGCATTTGTTGTACGAAAGAATATTCCTATGACGTGTTTTTTAGTAATAAAACATTTGATCCGTTCAAAAATCTGAATCCATTTATGATACATTTTAAATTATACTTATAGAAAATTGAAGAATTTTTTCAAGAAGTAAGTTCAGATCAAATGTTTTAATTCTAATAACGGATTAATAATTTTGTAATTAGAGGTCTAGGACATCGCATAATTTTATTACATGGTGCTGACAAATTGAAAGTTTATTGGAAGTTACAGAAATCAAAATAATTTCATTTCACTAAAACTG